TTCTTGCCCTTGCTAAGTATTAAACGTGTGCAATCTGTTTTCAAAAAATAGTGCCCCACCCCCACCCCCCACCCCCATCAAAATGTGTTCATCAATATAAAGAAAATATATTTTTTATTAAAAAATATAAAATTGTCACTTTTAAACAGTTTTGAAAAGGATTGTAACTGGTACCTTTAACAGATTACATTTAGTGGAATCAATAAAAATATCGCTAGGGTTGATTATATTTGATGATCCGTATAATTAAAGCTTATTTTTTAATTTTTTTTAATTTTTTTTTTTTTGTATTGGGTTTTAAATATCGTAAGTTCATTGCAGTCTTACTTCCGATTGTTCGCATATATCGCTATTTTTATTGATTTATTTTTTGCAATTTCACAAGTTAAAAGACTGAAATGATTTTTATAGCTGGGTACCTCGCTCTATAAGACCGCTAATACTAACAATTATTATAATAATGTATTAATTCCATTTTCATACCTATAAAACTCTACAATTTTAATAATAGTTAGTCAAGTATCAAACATGTGCAATCTGTTTTCAAATTATTGTTCATTTAAAGTAGGGACAGGTGTTAATTATAAATTGTGTGATGGCATCATGATTTTTTTTTCTAATTTAGAATTTAAAGGGGACATAAAAAGGGGGCACGTTTTATCAATTATTATTAAATCGAAAGTATTTTTGTTTTCTTTAAATGTGCTTCTTTTGTTACAAAGTTTCCTGAATAACAGACTTGTTTTGTTTGTTTTTGTTTTAATGCTTAGCTTATATCTATTATTATAAACTTTCCAACTGCTTTTCTCTTTTTAATATAAGAATAATTTTAAAAAAAACTGTCATATTGGATCTATTTGCAATTATTTTTTATATTATTAATTTTATTTAAGATGAGAATCCAGTAGAAAGCCAAGAAAAAAAGGTCTTGTGAACTAGCATTTCGATTATCATGTCAATTTCATTTTTATAATACTAGTTTGAGAAACAATTATTATTCCTAATTCGTCAATTTAAAGAGTCTGTGGATTTTGTTAAGAATATTTTAAAGTATATCGAAGAGGCAATTTGTAATTTATCTGAATAAAGTTACAGTAGCTTCAAATTCCAAAAAAAAAAAATTCAATCTACTGAATATTGGGAAATTTATATATATATTTTTTTTGCATACGATTTCCCTTAGATAAAAATCGCACATAAATAAATATGTACCGGTAATGTCTTTTGTAAACAAGTCATGTCTTCTTAAAATAGGTATGCCGTTCATATCTTATTTATCAAAAATGAATAGTTTTCAAAACCCATAAAAATGTCAAGACCTTTCTAATTCTAGTTATTAATTTTCTTTTTGACTATGGTAAAATTTGGAAATATTTAGAAAAGGTAATTATTAGAAATAAGTTTTTTTTTCCAATTTGCTTTCAGAAAATAAATGATTCAGTGCTTTTTAGTGATGGAACCTTCATTTATTTTTTTTAAAATATTTTATTAATTAAGTAGCTGTCCCCCAAAATTAAATTTAAATAAAAAATAAAAGCCACATTACTATTTCTGTAATATATATATATATATATATATAATTCATTTATTTTTTTTAAAATATTTTATTAATTAAGTAGCTGTCCCCCAAAATTAAATTTAAATAAAAAATAAAAGCCACATTACTATTTCTGTAATATATATATATATATATATATATATATATAATATATATATATATATATATATTATATATATATATATATATATATTATATATATATATATATATTGCATAACACAAGCAGGTAAAGCAATTTCCGTTTTGCCCCCATCCCAAACCCTGCATTAAAAGATGATAATTAATAATTTTTAAAAAATCCGCATCACATCTTTAAACGCCTAAAATATCCGAGGCACCCCGCAGTCGTAGGGGTGGCTGGACGCACACGATGGTTCATAGTAAGTCACACCTACATTTTTAAAAGAGGATTTCTTCCGTTGCTCTTCAGTTAAAGGTAAAATGTTGAAAAACTAAGTTCAGGTACGTGATAAAATGCATTCATGTATTTTGAATTTATCAAAAACGATCTGGGTACTATAAAGAGGTGAGGGGTGAGATTAAACTAGGGCAAAGTCGTATGCTCAAGGGGGACACAACTGGGATGAATTTAGTTTACGTCACGCTGATGCGATTTTTACGATGTCTTTGATCATCATTTTGGCTAAATTTGGCACTTCCCACCCGAAATGTCACCTCACAATTGTCTGAAAGATACAACAAATTCAAATATGCGCCAAATTGCACCCCTGAAATTTGAGTCTGTCCGATTTTCTTTAGCACCATAAATATGTGCACCCCCTTCCCAAACCGAAGGGGCGATCAGTGGTGGATTCTTAAATGCCACCAGCAGAGCCTCATCACTCAGATGAGGACAGAGCATTGCCCTGCCCGTAGCTACCTGAATAGGTTGCACCCACTGCGGGACCCGAGCTGCCGTCACGTTGGACAGGCGCCGGAGACAGTAGAGCACCTGCTAGCCGAGTGCTCGACATTAGCGACTGGTGTGCTCCCAGCCAACCACGTCGAAAGCCTGATTTACGGGACTGCCCAGCAGATGAGGCAGGCCTGTTCCTTACTTGCCGGGGCCATTAAAGAGCAGTAACTCGGTCCCATACAGTGAATGTAATATTTCAGTTGATTGAAATGTTCATTTGTAATTTCAAAATGCCATAACTTTTTTCAGATAAATTACAAATTGCCCCTTAGAAACAGTTTTCCTCGGAGGTGCAAATAAATTCTTCACTGTTCCCTCAGAGCAGGAAGCTACCATTTAATGGGATGAAGTAAAAAAAAATATTTGGAAACCCGGTATGTAAGTTATGTAGGTGCACATGAAGCATGCTGGAGGCTCGGGGAATAAAAAAATGTACCACATACTTTATGTGGTAAGATTAAATTATGTCCAACTTGAGGACAAGTATACAATATGCTTTTTTGTGGGAAAGGATGGCTGAAATGGTGGATTTTTTTCCAAAGCAGGTTATATCCTGAGCAAATTTTAAAAACAGCTGTCACTCGAGTTAAAGGTATGACTAGACAGGATTCTTTTTAAAGCTACTCATTCTAACACTAGGGATAGGTCTAAATTTATTTTAACTTTTCATCCCCATAACCTTAAAGCTTGTTTTCTTGTTTTGAAAAACCGCTCGATTCTTATGGCAGACCTGGTCACCAATGAAATTTTCAGAAAACCTCTTTTCGCTTTCCAGAGGGACAAAAGCCTTATGGACATGCTAGTTAGAAGCCCCCTCCCTGCTCTTAAAGCACATAAAGGCACCAAAAGTTGCAACCGTAGCCGTTGTAACACATGTCCCTATGTGATTGAAGTTGATAAGATCACTTTCCCTCTGGAAATATTCAGAATAAAAAATGACTTCAACCGCAACGTGATTTACACCATATTTTGTAAAAAGTGCGGTAAATTATACGTAGGAGAGACAGGTCGTCGCCTTGGAGACCGGTTTAGAGAAAACTTCTATAACATAAATAAACAAGCCATCTGCCAGGTCTCCAAACATTTCAATAGCACTAACCATGATGGAATTTTAGTCATCGGTCTCCAAACATTTCAATAGCGCTAACCATGATGGAATTTTGATCACAGTTACGAGTATACTGTATACTAGTAACATACCGGATGTGATCTATATAAATAAATAACAAAATTTCTTACGTTGACTCCAGACGGGATAAACCAAATCCACAACTTTTAAGTAGCTGCCATGTCTTTTTCCTGTTTTTTAAAACATTTTAACTTCAAATTACACTTCTTTACTTTGTTTCTGTCTGGTTTTTGCGCCCACTCCTATTTTTTCACCTTTTTTAGGTAGGATATCTATCTATATATACAACGTAAATTTGATTTATACTCATTTAATTGTTTTGTCGTTATACTGATGAAGGCATGGATCACCTAACACCACCTCGATATTTGGATGCACTATTTCAATTTCACCAATTTTAATGTGTTAACAGTTGGGCCCACCTTTTAGTCGTTTTTAAAATAAAAATTTAGATTTTGAAAAGGAAAAAAAAAAAGGCCTGTAGTATTTTTCTCTGGGTGGGGGACGGGGAGGGGGGGAGGGACTTGACTTCCTCTGTGGGTGCAGTGCCTCCCCCCCCCCCCCCCCCCCCCCCTTATTTCAATTTCACCAATTTTAATTTGTTAACAGTTGGGCCCACCTTTTAGTTGTTTTTAAAAAAAAAATTTAGATTTTGAAAAGGAAAAAAAAAAAGGCCTGTAGTATTTTTCTCTGGGTGGGGGACGGGGAGGGGGGGAGGGACTTGACTTCCTCTGTGGGTGCAGTGCCTCCCCCCCCCCACCACCCCCACCTTTTCCTCTGAGAAATGCCTGAAAGAAACACTGAATGGGGTGTGCACAGACTGCACAACCTAATGTCAATGTGTCAATGTTAAGTGTTGCTTTATTTAAACTGGCCTTCTGTTCACATGGACTTCAGTTGAGTCCTTTGCTAGTTTTAAGCCCACTTCCCCAGAGATGGGCTCCCTGAAATATTCTTGTTCCCACGCGATGCAAGATTGGTTTTATCCACAAGAGATCGGTTATAGGCCTATCCACTTGAGATTGTTTATATCAACTTGAGTTTAGTTTTATCCAATGAAAATTAATTATATCCACTTGAGATTAAGTTACATCGTATTATCCACTGGAGATTAGTTATATTGTTTTATATCCACTGAAAATTAGTTATATCCACTCGATATTAGTTATATTGTTATATCCACTGAAAATTAGTCATATCCACTTGAGATTAGTTATATAAACTTGAGATTAGTCATATTGTTTGTTATATACACAGAAAATTATTTATATCCACTTGAGATTAGTCACATCCACTTGAGATTAGTTGCATCAACTCAATGTACTCAACTCAACATAAGTACAGGTTCGGGCCACTAAATAGGTCCTCATGGTCAACAACACAAAACAGATAATTGTTTGTTGCAAGATAAAATGTATTGGAAATATTTACAAGAGACCAACTGGTTGACACTTTCAGAGACCAATCTAGTTGATGGTAGACATTCTTCATTTGTTCAAACACATTTAAAATTGATTATCCTACACAGTGAGAACTAATGCGGTCAACATATTCTAACATCCCTGCTCCCTTCACAACTAACATTCATTCATCACTGTTCCTGTCACATTCATTCATCACGGCTCCTGTCACACCTCACATTTATCTATCACTGCTCATGTCACACCTCACATTCATTCATTCATCACTGCTCCTGTCACATCTCATATTCATTCATCACTGGTCTTGTCACAACCTGCATTTATCCATTACTGCTCCTGTCTCAACTCACATTAATTCATTACTGCTCCTGTCCAAAATAACATTCACCCATCCCTCACATTTTCCACATTTCTTCACATTCACTCACATTTCTCCATATTCACCCATCACTCACATTTCTCTACATTCACGAATCACCTACATTTCTCCACATTCATTCATCGCTGCTACTGCTGCTGGAGGAATCGCTGGACATCAACTCCACATCGTCCTCCTCCTTGACGTGACCTTTCAAGCTGTCGGTCATGCTGTGGTGAGAGCTCAAGGACATGCCAGACTCCTGGGAGGGCTGCCAGGAGTAGGACGGTGGCATCCCCGCCTGGTGCTGCTGATGTGGTGTGTGGTGGTGATGGACCAGCCCCGACAGCTGCTGTGTTTGATGGTGTGGGTGGGGATGGGAAGATGGTTGAGCCTCTGTGGAGTAAACATTGACATTTATGAAGTCAGTGAGATCACATCCTTATCAAGGGTCTCAAAGTTGGTGATAGCGGATACAGTGTATAAGTGGAATATATAGTGTACAAATGACAAATGCAGCATATAAGTGGCAGATGAATGGAAAGAAAAAAATAATACTTTCTATTAACTTTGAAAGGGTAAATTTTATAAGTTTGGTTCTAGAAACAAATTCAACAACTTAAATCTTATTGATTACATTGATGAATTAGTAAGCTAGTCTAAACGGTTTGAATATTTGCCTTATTTTTACCAAGACATAAAGAGTAGACCATATGAAAGCTAACAAATAACAAAAGTTCCTTTGCCTGAAGAACTATTTGAAGCAAAATGCATTTGTACCCCCCCCCCAGCCACCTCCCCTTCCCCCCGCTTCCCGCCCCACATTTTCCATCGCACAAACCAAAAGATATAAAAAAATATTTGTTTTTTTCAGTCTTCCAAAATTTACCAGCAGGCCCCCTCCTCCCCAACCTCCACTTCTTTGCTGTTACTATTACAAAACCTAATTAATCCCTCCAACGGTCAATATTGTCACTAATGTAGTGAAGTTCCACTATGATGGCTGACTTTTGAAAATGAGAAACACTTTAGCTGTCTTGTCTTTAAATAAACATTCAAGTTGTAAAATGTGGTCTTGCCAAGAATATTTATTAATCTATGTGCTGAAAAATGAATATGTGCAATGTAATAAAAAAATTTTTTTTTTACATTTGCATCAATTAGAGTATCTTATTTTTATTTGTCAATTTTACAATAACTTTTCTCAGTGGCAGCCAGTGTCACCAACTCAGAGTCCGAAACCAAAATCAAATGAAAATAAAAGTCTTATTCTCTGCAGGAGTGGGGTTCTCCCAGCACCAAGTGAAATTGCCACTGCCAGTCTGCCTGTTAATACTGCTAACGCTTAATATCCACATAGCGCATAGAGGAAAAAAACAACCTTCTATCCGTAAGACTTTTCCTCCTGGTGCTGTGAAAAATAAGGCTACAAGATGATACACTCAATAGCTCGGTCAAGACAGACCAAATCTATTTCACTTCCGTAATTTAAATACAGGATTCTGTATTACTACTGCTAATGAATTATCTATAATTACATCTAAATTGCTATCAAGTTCATCGTCTGAGTGCATTTTGATAATATAGATCTGTGTAAAATCTCAAAATCTGACTAAAATCAGACTCAAAATAGGCCATTATCGTTTAAAAGTTGCAAATTTCCCTTTTGAAAAGGACATATATTAGAATGTGTACGCAGTAAAGGGGAGAATTTTCATGACATTTCTTGTTGCTGTGTTAAATAGACGCAGATCAACGTTGTGCAGATATAAAGGTTAAATTCAGTCGATCTGGATCTGCGTTGTGTGTTGAGTTGTAAAGTACTTTTGAAACAAATTAAACTACTTTGATCCAAATTTTGCGGAAGCAAACAGCAGCAATACAATACCTGGTGAGTACAACCTAACAAGGGGAGTGGAAACGGAGGATGATCAATACAATACCTTGTGAGTACAACCTAACAAGGGGAGTGGAAACAGAGCATGATCAATACAATACCTTGTGAGTACAATCTAACAAGGGGAGTGGAAACGGAGGATGATCAATGCAATACCTTGTGAGTACAACCTAACGAGGGAAGTGGAAACGGAGCATGATCAATACAATACCTTGTGGGTACAACCTAACAAGGGGAGTGGAAACGGAGGATGATCAATACAATACCTTGTGAGTACAACCTAACAAGGGGAGTGGAAACGGAGGATAATCAATACAATACCTTGTGAGTACAACCTAACAAGGGGAGTGGAAACGGAGGATGATCAATACAATATCTGGTGAGTACAACCTAACAAGGGGAGTGGAAACGGAGCATGATCAATACAATACCTGGTGAGTACAACCTAACAAGGAGAGTGGAAACGGAGGATGATCAATACAATACCTTGTGAGTACAACCTAACAAGGGGAGTGGAAACGGAGCATGATCAATACAATACCTTGTGAGTACAACCTAACAAGGGGAGTGGAAACGGAGCATGATCAATACAATACCTTGTGAGTACAATCTAACAAGGGGAGTGGAAACGGAGGATGATCAATACAATACCTTGTGAGTACAACCTAACGAGGGGAGTGGAAACGGAGCATGATCAATACAATACCTTGTGAGTATAACCTAACAAGGGGAGTGGAAACGGAGCATGATCAATACAATACCTTGTGAGTACAACCTAACAAGGGGAGTGGAAACGGAGTATGATCAATACAATACCTCGTGAGTACAACCTAACGAGGGGAGTGGAAACGGAGCATGATCAATACAATACCTTGTGAGTACAACCTAACAAGGGGAGTGGAAACAGAGGATGATCAATACAATACCTTGTGAGTACAACCTAACGAGGGGAGTGGAAACGGAACATGATCAATACAATACCTTGTGAGTACAACCTAACAAGGGGAGTGGAAGCGGAGGATGATCAATACAATACCTTGTGAGTACAACCTAACGAGGGGAGTGGAAACGGAACATGATCAATACAATACCTTGTGAGTACAACCTAACAAGGGGAGTGGAAACGGAGGATGATCAATACAATACCTTGTGAGTACAACCTAACGAGGGGAGTGGAAACGGAGGATGATGTATCAGAGAATGTCCCCATGGACAAGCTGCTGTGTCTCATCTCCAGGTCTGTTGGATATGGTCTTCTTGGGTCACCTGCAAAGGGAAGTAATGACTTAAGAGTGGTTAGATATAGTTGTCTAGGATCAACTGGAAGGCCTCAAAATAAACTTTTGGGTTAAAAACTCCAAATTGGTTTGGTCACAATATAAAATATATTTATGTATTAGTCGCAATAAAATTCATTTTTTCTTGTTTCAGTTCAATGCAATTTAATATAAAATTCATTTTGTAACTACCAAACCTTAAACCCCCAAACTAAAACTAATTATTGATTTACTCAAATTGGATTCTGTCGTTATTAAAATTTAAAAAATCTTTGATCGAATATAAATTTAAATACCCGGTAATTAGATTTTTGTCATGCTATTCTTGAGCCTATGTTTTTCCCCCATTGATGATATTGCGTCATATCACAGAGACATGAATGTATAGCAGAGCAAAAGCTTTAGAAAATTAGAGACAGAGAGCAAACTTTTAAGGGGGAAAGAGAAAATAGTTCACCTGGTCCCCATGTCGGTGGTGCAGACACAGCATTGCTGGCACTGATTCTGTGAGCATATTTAATGAGATCTTCAGAGGAAACTTTATTTTGCTGTGCTTGTCTGATAGATCCAAGCTTTTGCTTTGCCTGATAAACTGCAGTGGCCTAAATAGGAAAGTTCATCAAATGAAATGATTTTTATTTGTTTTCAATAACATGATTCTCAAGTTTAAAAAATTAAAAAAACCAGGATAAAAAACATTTTAAAAAAATTTAATTGAAAGACATTTTGAAATACTTTTACTTCAGGCACAATTTTAAAAAAAAAAGCATTACTTGATATAGTCTCATTATTTGTGTGACTGACAAAATATGTGTTACCATTACTGTCTCCGCCTCTTTCAGAACTCTCTGTAGCTGTCTAATCTCCCCATCCCTTTTGTTCACTTCAGATCTAAGTCCATCAATCACCTTCTCCACCTTTTCTTGTTCTTCAGCTGTGAGGAGCAAGGATCAAAAGGAGGAACATTTCCTACGGCTAACATTTTACGTAAATTTTCTCCCAGAGAAGTTTTCAGCTGAGTATGTTCATGAGTCTAAACATTTTCTCCATGATTATGATTAATTAGCAAGCTGGTCCTTTTAATTTAAGACCTACCATGCTGGATCCTTGATGATAGTATTATCTTCTTCATAAGATGTCTTAAATGAATTAATAGATTTGTAACTATCAAATGAAATTTAAAATAAACTGCAAGGTTGTTTGCAATATTAAATTGAAAGCATATTCTATAAAAAGTAATTATTAACATTTGATATTGTAGTATAGTAATATTTTTAAAATCTTTACAGGCAAACTTTTTTTTTTTTGAAGTTCTCAATAAGTGATCAACAATGTTTACCTATTTTGAGTAGTTCCTTGAGCTCTCCATCCTTTTCAATGAGCAGTTCCATCAAATCTGTTGCATCTGGGGCATCAAGTGCATCTGGCTTTCTTTGAGATTTGGGCATAGCAAGTTGTTCTATCAGCTCTCTGCGAGGACAGGTAGTATATTGATATTAATTCTAGATTACCTTAGTAAGCCTAAAGTTTTCCCATGGCAACTAGCAATTGCATACATCTGGCGCTGTTGTCTTGGACTGCATATAGTTTCAAAATTATTTATTTAGACTCTGATCTTTACTGATATACTAGTTGTTACATGGCTTTTATTATTTATGGTTCCCCCATCTTCCACTGTACTGTTCCCCCATCTTCCACTGTACTTTAAGTATTCCTTCCTCCGAAAACGCATCTCCTCCACCCCCAATATCCCTTCTTATGTCATTTCTTAGGCCTCCATCCTTACTTACTATTATTTCATCTAAAACTGGAACCTTTACAAGCATTAAATCTACTTTTCATAACAGAAACAGAATGTGCTATAATGCTACGGCCACACTCAAAAATAAATCACAACATCAAAATTTTAATCTAACAAAATAAACCTGGAAATGTGTAGAAAAAATTTTGGGGAAAATTGTATGAGGGGTTTATGACATAGTACCCATGTTGAGTATCACTTTTTTTTTAAGTGGCCGTCATATTTATTGCCAAGACAGCAGACACATTAAAAAAATGTGATGCACAACACGCGGCAAAGAATGAAGAAAATTTAAAAGAAGTTTTTAAATTAAAGCAAAATTTTATCACTAAAACCTAGTCCAAATCCTAATATGATTATCCCTAACCCCAAAAAATGAGCATCCCAAACCCCAAAAATTAGTACCCCTATCCCTACAAATGGGTACCTCTAACCCCAAAATCGTGTATGCCTAAATACAAAAATTATTATCCCAAACCCCACAAATAGTATCCCTAAACACCATGAAACCTAAAATTTAGCAGTATTGGCTCTCCTGACATCAACCACGACTACATATGCTAAATGCTGTGGTAAAACAGCACAGCGTACAAATGCAGTAAAATTTTGATGTAAAATATTGAAAATAATAAAATCTAAAGTACCAATTTCATTCGAATATATTTACACCCATCATTGAAGTTTCATAAAAAATAAAAGCCAATAGAAATTTTTAAAAGGCAAAATCTATCACCAAAACAATGACACTTCTGCAACATGCAAAGCCATGAAAATACCCAGAAAGAAGAATCATGTTTTGATAAAAACTTTTAAAATTACGACAATGATGCCATCAATATGTGTGTACATTGTAAACAGAGGCCAGTTCACTCATACAAAAAAGTTCACTTGTATGTGTCATGACAGCCCCCAGTCCAATTCAGGCAATATGGTTTTGTCTTTTATATAAGAAAATTAAATTGTGTTATGTATTGGTACCATCACTTGTAAGTTATTAAGACACCCAGCACTGATTTCAGAGCAGCACTTTGTCAAACCTTGTGTTGTACTGAATTTGTTTAGTAGTGAATGCTTAAATTATTTTAGGTACTTTGGTAAAGCAGCGAAGACAGCTAAAAAAATTTGTATGGGAAATGGGCTTTAGTGCACAAAAATCCGAGTTTTTAGTTTTTTGATATTGTGCTATTTCATTAATAAAAGAATTACTATATCCCAAGATTGTGTTCCTTTTCCAGCCTTTAGCTTTGGAGGAAAACTTGGCTTGCATTTGAATTGATTTCTTGTTCACTAACAATCAGTCAATTTTTAGAAAATCCTTTGTGAATAGGCCTATAAGCAAATTTCATCATTAAGATTAAGTTGAAATTAAATATATGCCCTTTTCATATTTATTATGCCTCTCTGGTATATATTGAGCTACGTGAATGCTTATTTTCACAGCGCTATGTGTTTTACTAGAAACGCCATGAATCTAAGCTTGCGCAGTATAATAATGATGGTTGCTCTACCCAACTTCGCTTGGATGTGACCAAACCCTTTTTAATGGCGGAAGATGCTGATACTTAATAAATATTCAAATATTACTACTATTTATTAGGGGTGTGCCGGATCCCGGTCCGGAATCCGGTTCCGCCGGATTTTGCACTATCCGGTGAAATCCGGTTCCGCCGGATTTACATGTATCCGGAAAAACCGGATTCCGGAATCCGGAATATACCGGATTTCGGAATTTGCCAGATTTTGTGACTCACCGGATCATAATCTGAAATAAAAGTAATTCTCTTTCCCGAATTTCACACGATCACGATACATTAATCGATTGTTTCGAGCGTTGAGCTTGTTTAATGTTTAATATTCCGTACATACCAGAGGCTAGAGTCAGCACCGCTAATAGTGGCCAATAGTGTAGGGACTTTGATAAGAAAATTTAAACTTTTTGTAAAAATAAACCAATGGCATAGTTGAAAAGATGTAATTTTTTAAAGAATTATAACACCAAAATCATATTTTTAGCTGTTGTAGTTTTAAAGTTATGAATTTTTAAAGTACGACTTGGTTTGTCATTTTTTAACATGGACTGCATCTCCACATTCTGTGATCTCATTCCACCAATCCCGTCATGCGCAATGACTATATAGTTTATATAAGGCAACGCATTCCCTGCCTTATCACTAAAATACTGTTTAGACTTAGTTTAAACTTTCAACTTTGGCACATGAATAATTAATTAAAGCTTTCCCTGACCAATGGTTTAATAGTTTTTGCACACGGCAAACTCTTATGAATGAAACTCTGAGGTAGTACTACGATACAGTTATGCAAGTGGCTGTGAATGGTTGCCAATGACAACGTGTTGCACACGGTAAATTCTGATCATTTATAATATGGATTCTACCGGGTTGTTAAAGCTCAAATTAAAACATTCCAGTTTAAATGTCTTTAAATGCATTCTGAAACACAAGTTATCAATTATTTTGATGTAAATAGTGATAATAAATTAATATTTCCTAAGTATCGTCAACTTCCGCCATTAAAAAGGGGGGCGTGGCCAACCCCATGGCGAAATTAGGTTGAGCGAGCTGCATAACCTGCTGCGAACGCGTAGAAACATGGCGTCTCTCGTAAGACACTTATCCAAATGGAACGGAACTCAAATATATATCGAAAGTACTAATTTAATAATAAATAGACACACACATCGGAAAATTAAAAACTCGGATTTTTTGGCGCCGATTGCGAATTCCCATACACAAAAAGTAGTAGTCCACCTTGACTTACCGAAGTATCTACCAATAGTACCAAAATCCGGAATCCGGGAGAAACCGGTATCCGGATCCGGCGGATTTCGCATAAGAAAATCCGGATCCGGATCCGGTTGGAAAAAACGGATCCGGCACACCCCTACTATTTATATCAAAATATTTGGATAAATTATATTTTAGAATCAACTTAGAAGTAGAAGAATATTTTAATTTGAGGTTTAAAAACCCAATATAATCCATATTATTATGATCATAATTTGCCATGTGCAAAACGTTGTCATGGGCAACCATTCACAGTCACTTAGTTGGGCTATACCTCTATAGCATTATTCTCATAGTTTCATTGATAAAATATAGCTGTGTGCAAAAGATTTTAAATCATTGGTCTGTTAAAGCTTTAATTAATAAGTCATGCGCCTTGATGTGCAAAAGTTGGAAGTTCATAATAAGTAGTCCCAAACAAGTTATTATTTTTAGGGGGACTCCTTATTACATTGACTATATATATTTACATATACATATATATTATGGACGCTAGACTTGAATAACAGAAAATCCATATTGCAATTGTTTAATTTACTGATAATGCATATTACTTAGTTAAATAAGTTACAATTTATTTATAAATAATATTGCATAATAGTGTTAAAATTAATTTTAAAATCAGAACTTTTAATAAAAATAAAATAAGTCATATAAAATTATCATTTAAACAAGAGTTAATGTGCATGAAGTGATCATCAGAATTCGGTCACAAAATGTGGAGATGCAGTCCATGACCATGGCCATGGTCATGGGTAAAAAAAATAAATTACAAATGAACTCATATTTTAAAAATTCATAGCTCAAAAAGTTCTAAAGCTATAAAGTTGGTTCTGGTTTAATTATTTTTTTTTTTCTTTTGAAGTTCACACTATATAACTTAATATTTTGAAATTTTTTGTACTGTAGATACTTCGGTAAGTCAAGGGAGACTACTACTTTTTGTGTATGGGAATTCGCAATCGGCGCCAAAAAATCTGAGTTTTTAATTTTCCGATGTGTGTGTCTATTTATTATTAAATTAGAACTTTCGATACATATTTGAGTTCCGTTTTCAGCCTTATAATTAGGTAGACATCTTGGCCTGCATTTTAATCAATTTCTTTTTCATTTACCATCAGTCAGCTTTGAGAAATTCCTTGGTAAATATAAGGCAACTTTCATCATTAAAATTAAGTGGAAGGAAAAAATTTGTCACTACCAAATTTTTTTTGCATCTGGGGAATCTATTGATCTACATGTATGCCAATTTTCACAGCGATAAGTGTCTTACCAGAGACCCCATGTTTCTACGCGTTCGCAGCAGGTCATGAAGCTCGCTCAACCTAATTTCGCCATGGGGTGGGCCACGCCCCCTTTTAATGGCGGAAGTTGCCGATACTTAGGAAATATTAATTTATTATCACTATTTACATCAAAATAATTGATAACTTGTGTTTCAGAATGCATTTTGAAGACATTTAAACTGGAAATGTTTTAATTTGAGCTTTAAAAACCCTGCAGAGTCCATAATATAAATGATCAGAATTTTCCTTGTGCAACACGTTGTCATTGGCAACCATTCACAGCCACTTGCATAACGGCTACGTTGTAGTACTATCTCAGAGTTTCATTCATAAGAGTTTGCTGTGTGCAAAAGCTATTAAACCATTGGTCAGGGAAAGCTTTTATTAATTATTCATGTGCCAAAGTTGAAAGTTTAAAATAAGTCGACCCTAAACAGTATTTTAGTGATAAGGGAATGCATTGCCTTATATAAACTATATAGTCATTGCGCATGACGCGATCAGTGGAATGAGGTCACAGAATGTGGAGATGCAGTCTATGTTAAAAAATGACAAACCAAGTCGTACTTTAAAAATTCATAACTTTAAAACTACAACAGCTAAAAATATGATTTTGGTGTTATAATTATGTTTAAAATTAGCTCTATTCAACTGTGCCATTGGTTTATTTTTAAAAAATGTTTACATTTTTGACCAAAGTATCTAATGCTATTTAGTCTGCTGAGGCTGTGACTCAACTGTGACTGCAACCTTGCAAAGCGGCAAAGCCCATCAAAATAAGTAAAACTGGCGATAAAGCAAAGATCAAGTTTTTTTTCAAATACTGATACAATCATAGCAACACATATTTTACCAAAATACCTTAAGTATACAATGTTAAACAATATTTAGTTACTTAGATATTAGCTCCATATCATCTATAACACTTTGAAGTTTTTGTCTTGTACTTGGTTCGGTTGCCATTTTTAAATTGAAGTGGCTCCATAAAAAAAAGATAGTGGAAAAGCCAGCTAGATTCAGGACTTTCTTCAAGCATCAATTTATGACGCTGACCCGCTTTGTCTTATGTATACGACCGATTTTTAAAAAAAATTTCCTCTTATGTTCAATTTTTTTAAAGGATCGATAAAGGAGCAATTTTATTCAATTAAATTTTAAATTATAGCCTATTTAAATGTAAATGAGGTTTTTTCTCTTTTCCCCCAATTTAATCTAAATAATGTACTGAGCATCAATCAAAATATCTACATTTGATCAAAGGATCAAAAGTTGTAAATATTTATCATATGGTGGCTTTTGTTTTCCATTTCTCTTTTAGTGCAACTTTGTGTATAACAAAAAGATGGGTGAAGTTTACTATTTAGAATTATTTTTGTGTTTTAACTTAAGGAGCAACAAAAAACAAAACAAACAACCAGCAAAGGCCCATTAATATTAAAGAAAATGAAATTAATTTAATACATTTTTATCACATTCTTTTCCTTCATTTCAATATTTGTTGTAAATGATCTTATTCAAAACAGTTAACACAAATGAAATTACAAATGTGGATACATTTTTTAACTCACCTATCCTTTTGCATAGAAATAAGAAGAAAAAAAAATGTAAATGAAATTTAACGTTGCACTTTCTGTTTGGACAACAAATTTAGCTTTAAAAAGTGAATTAAAAATCATATAATGTTTATTTCTCCATTTATAATTATTTATAAAACATTTCTTAGAAAACCTGAATGAAAATAAAAATATTTCTGATATTAATATGACTATTATATTTTTACTGAGTTTTAAAATATGTATTTCATTTAATTACACAAAACAATAAAAAGATCCAAAGGAACGCTACATGATATGCTGTATAGTGGTTAGTCTTAAGTAAAACTTCTCTGTTGTTTTCTGGGGATTTTGTTTTTCTATTATTTTCTTAAAACAATAAAATTGCTTAAAAATTAATAATTGATCAAGATCTTGTCTGCTAAAAAATAAGTTCAACTTAGAGCCCCAAACTGATACAAAAAATTCTGAGAAAAGAGGGCAGCAGGCAAATGCAATCAGCTATCAAAGCGCCTCGTTGCAAAGCACCCAAGAATGTAGATGAAGACAAAAGCCAGGCTAATTAGCACTGTATTTATTCCAACCCTTACTTACCAGTGTCAAAAATGGGCTCCGAATAAAAGTCTTGCGATAAAAATATTAACCTGCATGATGTTTAAGGCGAGCAGCTGGCAAAAACAATAAGGGCCAAATACGTAACTAGGAAATAAGACAAAATGATTGGTGCCAATCCCAATAAACCAGTATATGGCCCAAAAACAAATTACCATAGTTATTGGCGTATAACACGCACAGGCGTATAACATGCACCATTCGCGCCGCTAAGCAGTATGTACTATGGATCCTTAAGATTATATCTGTGTATAACACGCACACATTATTTGCCCCCTATTTTCAGGGAGAAAAAGTGAGTGTTATACGCCAATAATACGGTATTTGGCTTGGCCATCTGGTCAGAATGCCTGTCAACCAAACTGCATTGCAAGCTGACAACAGCAGGCACTCCGGTTTCAAGGCCAGAGGAAGACCACGCCATCGGTGAATTTAGTGTTTTAGGGACATCCTAAAAATCCACACCATGATCCTCCAGTAGGCCTCAACCTTGAGGCAATCCATCAACTATACCTTCCACCACGCCGGCCAGGTAAAAGCGAACAGAAGAAGAAGCTTAATTAGATGTAATATTAATTTCTTTTCATAATTGAAAATGATTTATTGTTTCTTTCACAGAAGTTTATATATTCTAAAATAAAATAAACCTATAGAGAAATAATGTGAAATACCGTTATGAAAATATTTCACTATCTACTTCAATCATAAATCACTTGGGTTGTGTTGTTTGTGAATGTGATAGTGATTGAGTTGGGGATTATTAAAAAAAAGCATTTGTGAATACATAAAATGTGCTCATTTAAAAACAAAAGGGTTTTTGACCAATTAAAAATGTAAAGACATTAAAAAATGTTAAATTTGACTGCATATGTGAGCAGCTTTTGTCCATTCTTGTGCAATTATCTTAAATGAAAGACAGAATATAACAATTAAAAATCAAATTAAAATTATTAGCTAATTTTCTGTACAAAAAAAGGACAATTGGTTGAATTCACATCACTTTATTTTATGAAATTACAGAATGATATTTCGCTCAGCATTACAATGACATAAATACAGTCAAACCACTTTTATACATCAATTATTTCTCAATTTAAATCTTTTTACTTAATAGTAAAAGTCAAACCTAAATTTTGGTAGTTGACTTAGGGAAAACAAGTTAATGATATTTCAGAAGGTGAGTATCCTGCAGTTTATGTACCTATAACTCTGCCAATCTATTAATTTCCTTCCTTGAAGAATTTCCTGAATAATTAATAATGTCATTTGATTAACAAATGTAATATTTTACTAGAGTTAATCTAGAAAAAAAGATAAGTTATTTTTTAAAATTTCATTTACAATCTGCAATATTTTGCGGTTTCTTTTATAATGCTAGCCTAAACCTTGTGTTTTCCCATGCTTTTGCATTTACATTTTTTTATCAAGATCTTGAAAATAAATTTTTAACACATCAACTCCAATAGCAGTTAACGGTTTCACAAATCCTCCACCTCCCTCAATATATTTACACCCCTCATTTTCCAATCATCAATTCTTTTTCTTTTTCTGTTGTTGTGGGTCTGTGACTCCTTGGAATTCTGTCATCAGCTTCTCCTGGGTGTCTGACCTGGCAGGGCAGTAGCGGCTGTACTCCATGGTGAACTCTCCTTTTCCTTGTGTTAAGGACCTCAACTCAGTGGCGTAACCAAACATATCATTCAGAGGTGCCTGATAAGAAAATTAATCTCTAAAGCTTTAAACTGTTTAGCTATAAAATGTTCCTTTTAATGTTTGGCTGTATCAGAAATTTATGGTAAATTATGTTAATTAGTGAATGTATATATATATATATATATATATATATATATATATATATATATATATATATATACACACACACACAAACATTTTATATGTCCCCCAAGTTTAAAAAAAAATAATTTTATATATTATCAATTACATCCTGCCAGCAACTTTTGTTCTCCAATCTGAATCTGATCCATTATTTTATTTCTTCTTGGTATATTTTTGTTATATAGTATCCATTTACAACTTAATTTCATGCATGAGCACAGTATTGGTTAGTGTCATGTTTCCTTAAGGATCATGAAACGTGAATTCTGTGCAAATTCAATACCTTAAATAAAATTCATGTATGCAAGGGTGTCAGGGGATTGTGGGTAGTGAGATCAGTTAGGCTGGAAATCATGGACATAAGGAAATATTTGTAATTGGTTTTTGATGATCGGAATGGTTTCCACACATTACCTCACAGTAGACTGTGAAGAAGCCTTCGATACTCTCTGTGGCTTGTATAATAGCATTCCTTTTGACTATGTTCTCCAGCACAGCATTCCTGTACTCCTCTGGAGCATTTATCTCCACTGTCATTACAGGCTCCAAGATCTGCCAGGTTCCACATTCAAACACTGCAAGGAAATTATGGACAAGTTTAGCATTACAGGGTCAGGGTCTACTGATGCGTGGACACCCTCTAGTTCAACATTATAGGGTCTCATTGTTGTATGGGCACCATCTAGTTTAACTTTATAAGGTCTCATTAGTTTATGTACAACATCTCGTTTAACATTATAGGGTTTCATTGTATGGACATTGTCTAGTTTAACATAATAGGGTCTCATTGTTTTATGGACACAATCTAGTTTAACATTAAAGAGTCTTATTGTTATGTAGACAGCATATTATTTAAATAAAGTCTATATAGTCTTATTTCTCAATAACTGCTTGGTAATATCTATATACTGATTTCAAGAAATAAATAAATAATGCTTACCATCTTTCATAGCCATTTCCGTAGCTATCTGGAAAGCTAAGTCACTGGAATCTACAGAGTGGTTTGCACCTGAAATAAACAACAAAATACATTAATCTCATTTTCTAGAGCAAAATAAATTTTTAATTATTAACTGACCTAAACATCCTAAAAATACTAGTTCACATTGTGCATATCCATAGCCACTGGTACACTTACATAGCCACTGGCACGCAAACATGGCCACTGGCACACAAACATGGCCACTGGCACACAAACATGGCCACTGGCACACACACACATATGCCCTAGTCCACCATTATCATATGACAACAGCTACACACACTGAACTCACCATCCTGTAACCTCATCCTAACCCCTGCCACCTTGTGTCCAGACAGGCCTCCTTTATCACAAGCCTTTAAGAAACCCTGAACAAATGCACACAAACTTGCAATATTAATAAGTTTTGATTTAGGCAAACCTAAGGGAAAAGTTACCAACATAACAGCATGTATTCACTTGTCATTGTCAGCACTAAGTTGCTAATTTTGTAGTGGTTTCATTTTTGCATGGCTCATCACACAAACATAGTGAAAGGTGTATTAGCCAAAGCATTTGAAACAATTTTGTGTGCTTTTAAACATTTTAATGTTGTTGTTTTTTAAATAAAACATATTATGTGATTATTTAAATTTAATTGGACAGAATAATGCATAAAATTCTAAATATGACCAACTTTGTAAGAAATTACATTTCTGCCATCGCAGAGAACCTTCTTGAGGCCATATTTGAGAGAAATAATTACAAAGTATTTCAAAAGTAAAACAGACTCTTCCCAAATTGTCTTTTGAAGTTTTCCCAACTAATCATAAAATTGAGCTTTAGGCGCAAACTAATTAGGTTTAGTTCTTAAACATGAGTGTGTGGGTTAGTTTTTTAATTCAATATGTTGTAATAAGTGATCGTGAGAGAGTTGTGGAAAATTAACATTGACATGAATGGAGGTGAAATAAGTAGCCTTGAATTGAAATAAGTATAATTTGTCAATTGTTACTCTGTGAAATCAGATTCTGGAGAATTTTTGAGAGCAAAAAGTAAAATAAAAAGGATCATTGGCTTGCATGAAGTTAAAATGCAATATTTAGATTGCAATCAAAGGTTTTTTGTTTTTTTTACTTACAGCTTTACAAGATGGAATGAACTGCCTCGGCACATTAGTACCAACAATCTCACTAACAAATTCCAGTTTGGTGTTCTCATCTGCTGGCAGAGGCTGGGTACAAAAAAATTAAATTATCTTATTAAGATTTGTTTGGGTTGTATTTTCATGGCGTAATGCACACTTTATAGTATAAATGGAAGCAATGGATACAAAATTTCTTGTAATTTACAAATAAATTAGATATACAAAAATTGGTTAAAAAATCTTGAGTTTGAAATATTTAAATTAGACCCCATGATATATGTATATATGCTATAGGCAAAGTATGAAATCCATGCATTCTATAAATCATCATGCAAAGTGTATAAGTGTACAATGGCCTATGCATTTCACATTTTGAACAGAATTGTCAGGCATTCTAAAGAATTCTTGCCAGTATATAATAACACACAAAAGGTAATAGACTTATAAACAAAAGAACAGAATTAAAAACTTTTTAAGTACATTACGGCTATTAGAAGTTTTCTAATGTTTTTATTTTTTTTTAATTTATGGCTAAAATCTGATTTTGAATGGCCTTTTGAATTACAAAGTAGTTGTTTTTTTTTTTTTACTTTGGCTATGGAGAGGCTTCACATGCACAATCTTAAACTGTGGCCAATAATCTTTAAGGCTAGGAACAATTTGATTGGAACATTCCCAATTGACAAAACAAAACTCAGATCAGCTGCAACACATCAGTCGACTGGACCTTGACAACACAACAGTCAATTGGACCTGGGCAACACATCAGTCGACTGGACCTTGACAACACAACAGTCGACTGGACCTGGACAACACAACAGTCAATTGGACCTGGGCAACACAACAGTCGACTGGACCTGGACAACACAACAGCCGACTGGACCTGGACAAGGATTTGCTAAGTGTATGTGTAACACAAAATGTCAAAATAAAAGTGTTTGTATTTTAAAAAACACATATGCTAGAACTGGTAGGACATTTTTATCTCAAAATGTTTTTGCCCCTTGCTGTTTTTTATTTTTTTTTTGGTTTATCCGAACTCCAATCCCTCTAATTTTTTTTTTTATACTTTGCCTAAATCTAGTCAAGCTTTCTATTGTAGGCCTAGGCAATGTGTATAATGTCTAATGTATTTCACACTTTGACTAGGATCATCAGGATTGTGTATTCTATAGAATGCCTGGATTACACAATTTGCCAGTAATATTTACATACCTTAATGGTCTAAACCAAATTAGTTGGAAGATTGAGTTAAAAAAAATAATGATGAAATTCTAATCGATGCATTGAGATGACCTCACTGACCTCCATAACTCCAATGACTTTGGCGAACTGGCCCTGGCCACCTGTCTGCTTCTTATGCAAGTAATCAAAGTTGCAAGGTGACACCAAGGACTCCCTGAAGGCCACTTTAGGTTTTCCCAAAACGCATTTGGCATTGTACTCTCTTTCCAGCCTCTGGAAATAAAATACATTTTAGTAAAATTTAAAAACAGAAAGAATGCTTTTTGATCATATATTTTAAATTTAAATCTACGAAAAAAAGCAAGGAAGAAGGACCATGGGTTACGTATAACAACTTTTATCTGTCTGTACTAATTCCTTTGAATATGGCTAAATGTCAAAAGTATAAATTAAATTTGCATATTTGTAAAGAGGTTTGAATATGCTCTGCCCAAAAAGAAATTTTTGCATTGGGGAATCAAAATATGTTTTGAGACTTGAGGTAATTTATTTAGTGAAAGTACTAGTCTGTCTCTTTTTTTATTCCCAGTGATGGGACTTTTGTTACACTTGCAAAATAATTCATCAGGCTTTCAAATCAAGGCCGAAATGTTATTGCACAAACATGCTTGTTCATGTCAGAGACACACGTGTGCAGATGTAAAAAACACACACATGTGCAGATGTCAAAAACACACATGTGTGCAGATGTAAAAAACCAGGCTGTGCACAGATGTCAAAATCCCACCTGTGTGCAGATGTCAAAAACCCACCTGTGTGCAGATGTCAAAAACACACCTGTGAATAGATGTCGAGATGTAGCTCCCCCATCCCCGAAGCTATAGTCTCTTTGGATTCATCATCCCAGAGGACACGGAATGTTGGATCCTCCTTGGTGAAACGGGCAATGCCCTTGGAGAAGTTTTCAATGTCAGTCTTTTTAATGGGTTTGATGGACATTGAAATGACCGGCTCTGGGACAAACATGGACTCCTGTGACAAAAAAAAAAGAAGGTAAGTTGGTTTGGTGGTTGAAATTGAGATAAATATGGAGTATTTCCCATCAGGTGCGCAGTAAGAATTACAGACAGACTTTTTCTGTCTATCACATATTTAAAACCTTGAGCACTGCTGTCAAGACTATAAATATCCCATGACATACCCGTTTAGTAAACCAGTGAATCTAATAAAAACTGAATGCTGTATTTACCATGGAAAGATGTAAGTTGCCCTTTGTGACAAATGTGTCTCCACTAGAACAGTCAACGCCAAACAAGGCACATATATCTCCAGCATACACCTCAGTAACATCCTTGAAAAAAAAAAGTAAAATAGTAAGTATTGACAAAAACATACTAAAAGTGTACGCATTGACAAAAAAAAACTATTTAAGCATATGCATTGACAAAAAACTATAAAAGTATAAGTATTAACAAAAAAATTATAAAAGTGTATATAAAAAAAAAGTGGCCTGCACATATGAGCCGATGATAAGGACTAATGTCAATAAAAGTACATTGACATATTTCAATTTAAACATTTTGCCTTCAGCTAAATGTGCTTTACATCTTTATTATTTAAAATAAAAACATATTGAAAAGCTGTTACTACCAAGTGTCGAGTATGAGCGTTCATTAGTAATTGTTGCGACTCAATATTATGTTCATTAGTTGTTAACGCTTTTCCCACGTTTGACTATTATAGTTGGTGAACGCTCTTCCCGCCATTGTCTCTATGATGTATTTTTATGCTGATTCGTGACGTATTGTCTATGCAGTATTGTGATGTATGTTTTAGTCATGCGGCAGTTTTGAGTGGAACTTTGGAGTGATAGGATCTGTATTATTTAGGTCTGATAGCGAGCTGCGCTATATTCACATGTTATGTGTATTATATTTACTTATACATTAAAGTTATAGTTATTATGAAAAGGAGTTGAGTTTGTTCGATGATAGTGAGAATAGTACGACGCTTCAACGTGTGAAAAGAACTTGACGAATGTAATCAATCCAAGAAGACTGTAGGAGTTGACATGGGGGCTTCTCATCCGGGATTGGTGAACCTCATCATTTTCATAATTTGAGGTAAAGTACAAGAACATTCTTATTATTCAACTTTAGTGAAGTTACAACCATCGTCGCATGTTCCCGTATTTCAATGTCGGAGCCCCGCTGCCACCATGTGTCAAGTTTATGTGAGTTGCATGTGCCAGTAACTCCATAAATTTTCTTATGACTTATGTATTTACATTTTTTTTACCTGGGTAAAAGTTATTTTTCTGCTAGAGTTCCCTAAATTTTATTGCTATGGCTGGATATGTCAGTGGGAAATGGAGTTTAGAAGAAATTAGGCATGTGGGAGTGTTACTTCGTTATACGGGAGAGAACCTAGAGGAGTATATAAGAGTTAAGTTTGAAGAACAAGAACTTAGAGCCAGAGAGGAAGAACGTGTAGATAGACAGAGAGAGAAAGAACGTGTAGATAGACAGAGAGAGAAAGAACGTGTAGATAGACAGAGAGAGAAAGAACGTGTAGATAGACAGAGAGAGAAAGAACGTATAGATAGAGATAAACAAAGAGAGAGACAATTTGAACTAGATAAACTTGATAGAGAAATTAGACTGGCGGAAATAGAGGCAGAACGACGGGATATTATTTTAAAGAGACAGGCATATTATTATAGCGACAGTGACGATGACGAGAGCCAGGGGAAAGAAATATATTATGGCATTGCCAGCATTTACTGTGAGAATCCCTATAAAAATTTTAATAGATTTTTTTTAATGTAAGTGAAAACAACTTTATTGACGATTATGTGGATAACGGTGGACATACTCATGATCCTGACCCCAGGCAAGAGCCGGCCTCGCAACCACAGTTCATGGCTAAAGATACTGAGGAACAAAATGATATTATTGCCTCTGGTGACGACTCAATTTTTTTAAATGGAAATGACAGTGATTTGTTCATTGGTCCGTCGGCTAACGTTAAAAGGGACAACGTTGACCGTGCTGACATACCCCCATAGCCAAAGGGTACAGATATAGCTTTAGATTCATGTCAAAACGAGGTTGAAGTAGTTGGTGTATCCCAGGAAGTCCAATGTAAAGAAGAAAGGGGACGACAATTTAATAAGGTAGAAGTCATTGGAAATGACCTTAGGTGGACATATGTAGGGGATTGTCCCAGCGCCACAGCATGTAATGAATTGGTTGTTATGGAAACGGGCGGCATTGAAAGCAAAGAGAACCCTGTTCTAATGTCTGAGGACATGATTTTTGTTGTATCTCATGGTGAGCCATCAGATAATGTAAGCCCTGAAGTTAAAGTGTCTTATTTTTTGTGTGAAGTTGATGAGGTGAGGGGAAGGAGGGAAAATTATTGCTGATAATTATTGTGATGTAAATGGATCACTGTGTAATGTGAGCAAAGGTTGCTCAAATGTTGATATTTTTACAGAGATATGTACCGGAAATGAAAATGAATTAGTTGATAATGTGAACCAGATGTGCTCAGGTTTTGGTGTTACTGCAGAGATCTGCAATAAAAATGTATCACAAGTTGTTATGAGCAGGGGTTGCTCAAAATTTTATAGTATTACAGAGAGCCGTATTGATGATGAATCAATAGGTAATGTGAGCCAGGGCTGCTCAAATGTTCATATTGGTACGGATAATTGTAATGATAATGAATCACCTGTAAATGTGAGCCAGGACTGCTCAAATTTTCATATTGTTACGGATAATTGTAATGATAATGAATCACCTGTAAATGTGAGCCAGGGTGGCTCAAATTTTCATATTGTTACGGATAGCTGTAATGATAATGAATCACCTGTAAATGTGAGCCAGGGCTGCTCAAATGTACATATTATTACAGATAGTTTTAATGAAAATAAATTCCAAGTAATGTGAGTGAAGGTTGTCCAGATTTTGAGAGCCAGGAGTGCTCTAACATTAAGTTGGAAACCAATGTTGAATTAATTAAAGAGAGCTCTGCCAGCTCTAAAGGTGCACTTGTTTATGATTTTCAAGAGGAGGTGAGTTGTCAGGTCCATGAGTTGGGAGGTGATTCTTTTGTTTGTATTGTTAAAAAAAATGAATCTGTTAAAATGAACTATTACCATGATTGCCTTGAAGTTCCTGATTTGTTTGAATTTCTTTTTTATGAGACTCGTTTTTCATTTTGTAACAATTTAAAAATATGTATTGTAAAACTGAGGTTTCACATGAGTTATGACCACGGGTCAAAAGAACAGGGAGAGATAATTTTAATTATAATAAACATGTTGAAGCATAAAGTTGTGAAATCCACGGACAAAAGATATGTCCCGCCATCTGTAGCTGTGTTATTTAAGAGCAAATAAAGGCTGCTTAAATTGTGGTGAGGCATCTCTCACTTGTAATAATGTTAGATAGTTTTGTGTTTTTATAGTGATGGCCATTGGTTTTGTTTAAAAATACACCTTCTTGATGATATGAATTGAATTATCTTAGTTATACTTTCAAATTCAGTAAGGATATTGATGTATTTGCCCTGATTTTTGAGATAAAAATATAATTATGGAAAATGAAAATTAATGTTGACATTCAAATTTAAAGGGTCTGATTTTTATTGTCGTACATGAATTTTTAACTCTTGAATTGCATTTAAAATTATGTACAAAGGATTGTTTATTTTATTGCAGTATATCATAAATCTGTTTGATTTTCAGTGATACCTAAATAATGTTTTTTTGATAAGGACCATTCATATGGCTGAAGGGTTCTTCTTGTTGTAATTCATGTAAATTTTGTGTGTCTGGTGACGATTTAACTCCCTTAGTTAAATCTGAAATGAAAGAGGGGGGATATGTCGAGTATGAGCGTTCATTAGTAATTGTTGCGACTCAATATTATGTTCATTAGTTGTTGAACGCTTTTCCCGCGCTTGACTATTATAGTTAGTGAACGCTCTTCCCGCCATTGTCTCTATGATGTATTTTTATGCTGATTCGTGATTATTGTCTATGCAGTATTGTGACGTATGTTTTAGTCGTGCGGCAGTCTTGAGTGGAACTTTGGAGTGATAGGATGTGTATTATTTAGGTCTGATAGCGAGCTGCGCTATATTCACATGTTATGTGTATTATATTTACTTATACATTAAAGTTATAGTTATTATGAAAAGGAGTTGAGTTTGTTCGATGATAGTGAGAATAGTACGACACTTCAACGTGTGAAAAGAACTTGACGAATGTAATCAATCCAAGAAGACTGTATAGGAGTTGACACCAAGATTGAGATTTTTTAAAATAAGAAATCAGATAACATGTATCGTAGTTACCTCCATCTCATCAGCATTCATGCGCACAAGTCGCTGTACTCTTGTCTTCTTCTGAGTCCTGGTGTTTATTATTGTGTCCCCTCGCTTGATGCCACCCTGGTAAACACGGACGTATGTAAGTTGCCCGTATTTACCAGCCTGCAACAGATAGGCATGCAAATTATCAGTGGCCGACTAACCAAATGGACAAAAATATTTTTGGTGATACTGTGTGGTTTTCCATCAACACAAGTATGTCTTTTGGCTGCAAAAACAGTGTATACCCTTAAGGTAGAGAGTTTAATGAGCTTTACAAACCTCAAGTTTTATGGGTTTTACAAACCTTGAGTTTTATGAGTTTTACAAACGTTGAGTTTCATGAGTTTTACAAACCTCGAGTTTAAAAGCCAGGCCAACAAAGGGAGGATCCATTGTTCGAGCTGGATCTAAGTTAAACTTCTTTGGTGTCTTCTCTGGGCTGAAAGTTTTAAAAAATGTATTCATCTAAACAAAAGCTACTGACCACGATAAATTTATTAGATTTCTTACATATTATTTGATCGAAATTTTAAAACATTTTAACGTCTCTCTTTGCAATAGATTATCTGCCTTGGAAAAGCTTTGCTTATTTTTTTTAAAACTATTAAAACAACTGATGTCTGAGGATGAAATTTTCTTTAGTGAAGTAGCAGCAGCGTAAAGAAGAATACTCACCCTTCACTGTTGTCAAGGCAAATGTTGGTTACTTCTGCAGGGTTGGGGAGGTAACTCAGTACAGCATCCAGCAGCGGTTGCACACCCTTGTTCTTCAATGCTGATCCCACAAGGACTGGTGTAAACGTTCTCTTAATTGTGGCCCTTCTCACAGCAGCCTGTGAGACAGGAAATCTTCAAATTGTTAAGTTAAAAACCACACTACTGAAAATGTACGGGTCCTTAAACTTTATGGGAGTAGAAAAGCTGACACCAACACCATTATTGCTCCTACAGATGCACCATTCTTCCCTTTCTTCTTCTGTAGATGAACCCCACTGATACTTATTTTTGAGTTAAAGATAAAGAAAATTTATCTAGATGACCTACGAAACCAGCTATGGTTTGTGATACCCCCTGATTAAGATCTAGAACTGTGATCTTGTATATGAGCTTCGTGCCCAGGGTAATTATGGGGGTCAAAAGGGTCTTGGTCAACTCTGTGGAAAGTGGGATAACTGGGGCATGTACAGACATGGAGGTGGTGGGGGAGGGGCTGGGGGGGAATGAGACCAAGTGAGGGACAGTCCCAAACATGCATGTGAATTCTATATTTTGTGCACAGGTCGAGTAAATTGTGAAGGTGGCTGCAGACTGATGCTATTTTTGTGATATCAATTAAAAACTGTACCATAATATCTTGAACTGATGGGGTCTTCTCCTCAAGAAACATTTCTCCTAGTTTTTCATCCACATTAGCAACCATTTCTAAAAATGAAGAGAAACAAAAAAGGGTTACAAATTATATTTTTTTTTTATTTTCTTTTCTTAATGATGTATAATTAGACCATTATTAAGTCCTGTCATGTAGTCTGATCTTGTTTTAGTGTATTATATGAATGCACAATAATTTTAAAAATAAGAGAAATTTTTCCAAAAAGTGGATTTGGTGTATGCCTCTACTACAGTAAAAAGTATTCAAGGATTACAGCATTTGTGCATAATGGTTTAAGTTTGTTTTTGTTAGCTTCTGTGTGCCATTATTTATTGGAATCATGGCTATAGATTAAATAATGACAACCCCCCCCCCCACCCCCTTAAACCATGCATCCCTTTTTACAAATTAACTAATGGATCTGCCACTTCCTCCTCATCCTCATGTCCCTTAGTCCTTGGACCGTTGGGGCGCCACAGATGACATGTGAACCATCCTCCTCCATTCCTCTCTGTCTTCAGCACTACTAAATAAAATTCAGTTCTGTAAAAATTGGACACATTATTTTTTAATGTCAGCATATTAATGCGCATAAAGAAGTTGATGATATAAGCTGTGACCCACCAATCATTTCTTGTCTTTTTTCTTTAGCTTCAGTCCTCATGTCCAATGGGATGTCATCTTCTCGTAGAGTTATCCTGACAACAAAATAAGATGTGAGGTCATCAAGGTATTAAAATTTGTTACAATATTCTGATAATAATATTGTGTACGGCTTCCTTAACGTCTAAGTAACTATTTGATAATAAATAATGCATCTGTCTTGACCCAAGAAAATTGTACAGCTACCCTCATTTATGAAATATTACTTTGACGAAACATGAACCAAAAAAAACAAAAACTGTGAAACAAAAATTAATTTGATATGAGAATTGAAGATAAAGAAAGGTTACAACTGAGCCAGAAATAGGCGAGTTTACCCGTGGGGCTCTTCAAAGAAGATAGCCTTCTCTTGGATGAGATCAACAATACCCTGGTGGTCCCCCTCCAGGCCAATGGGAAGGTTGAGAAATGCTGCGTTATGGTGAAGTTTGGATCTGAAAAGAATAACATTTGAGATTTGTGTTGAAATAGCAGTCTTCTTGTGTTTTGTGTTGTGCCCTATTGGGTGAAACAGTCTGATCACTTTGTTTCCTGTTAAAGATATAACTGATTGTTTAAAATCTTAAGAACTATTACGTCTGATTATGAAATACTTAAAATTATTTCTGTGTCTACCACAACAAGCTCATCTATTTGGTTTTTTAGGAGCTTCGTAAATTCATGTAACATTGTTTACTTTAATTGATATAACACAGTTGTTTTTTTGTGTTCCACAATATTATTATCTTAATCAAAGTCATATGATATCGTTTCTTAATTTTTTTTATTTTTTTTTTACATTTTTAATTTCTTTTTTTATTCCCAATTAAGATACGATTCCTTTATTGATCCAAATAAATAAAAATGTTCTTTTATTACATTGTACATATTCATTTTCAGCACATAAATAAATACATATTTTAACCAAAAAATCATTTTACAATTATAATAATTTAAACACGGGGCATCTAAAGTATTTCTCTAGATTAGAAATCAGCCATCAATTATTATTTAGAATTTTGAGTTATTTTTGTTATTTTTTTCACCCGCTTGATAGGGTTGTTACGCACTGGCTTCTCTTGTGAGAAATTAATATCTTATTTTTAATTTTATGGCTCATTCAAACAGTGCCTAACAGAGGACGATACCATAGAAAATACGATAATAAAGATACGACACCCAAAACAGTTGCCAGTTACAATTAATATGATTTAATTTAGTAATAATACAATAACAAAACAAAAGAAATATAATTATAAATCATCAACTTACAGTATGGTAGATCTTGTACCGGTACACAGTTAATACAATGTGCCAATTAATAATGATGAATGTGAAATAAACACATATGAGCACACAAATACACAAAGAATAATACACGCCTCGTAAAGTTAATAATATCTATCTGAATCTCCGTCTCTCCGTATCTGTCACTCCCTTATATACATGTGGGTCTACCAACGCGTAAGCCCTGCCTTCCAGAAGCTACACAGCATTTGTTTACATTTCTAGAACAAATCGAGATCATTCGACAAGATACTTGAGTCAGTCTAACCATTTTTAATTGGTAAACACGACAGATCAAAAGAACTAGCCCTGCCCATCTATGAAGCGAGCGTCTGCTTAATAATCTAATTTAAGATCAAGCAAAGTTCACGCACGGGGAAATCGTGTAAATAACAGGGTTATGTCAACAAGTTACCGGAGTTGATGCAAGACTCTCTTTGGACTGGATCCTTGTCTGTCAAGTTTGTTGATAAAGGCCAAACATGGAACATTGTAGCGTTTCATCTGTCTGTTCACTGTGTAGGTCTGACTCTGAACACCTCCCACAGCACACAACACTAGGACAGCACCATCAAGCACTCGAAGAGCCCTCTCTACCTCAACAGTAAAATCTACGTGACCTATACAGAAACAAAATCTCATAACTTTCTCTGTCAGAGGTGAGGAACCTTCAATTTCTAGACAAGATCTGACCAGTCTAACACTGCTTTCATTTCATTTATAACTTTTGTGCAGCTATAAATTTCAAACATAATCCAAGAGATTGATATGAAATGTATGAAAATACTTATGTGATGATAAACACATAAAGAACTGTGTAGATGAATCCAGAAACATTATTTTTTAATTCTTCTAGAGTATTAAATTTATATAATTTCAAAAATCCTTACCAGGGGTATCTATAATATTGATGTTGTGATCTTTCCACATAACGTAAGTTGCTGCAGACTGAATGGTGATTCCCCTTTGCCTTTCCAACTCCATGAAATCCATCTTTGCACCCACTAGATCTTTGCCTTTAACCTGACATCCAAAAAAATCAAATCACACAGTACAAAAAAAAATAATAACCCTTCAATTTTTTAAAGTTTTATATCAAAGTATTCACTAATAGTATAATATATTCACACTGATAGTAAAATATGTTCACTGATAGTAAAATATATTCACTGATAATATAATATATTCACTGATAGCATAATGGGACAGTGTGATTTTGTTATGCCAATAACAAGAGTTCAGAAATTTGGATGTTGAAACAGCTCTGTCATATAAAGAATGTAAAGCATGATGATTAGACTGGAGAGACTTTTTCAATTACCTCATGCATTTCTTCAACTCTTCCAGTGTAAAAGAGTAATCGTTCTGTTAGAGTTGTTTTTCCTGAATCAATATGGGCAGAAATTCCAATATTTCTGATCTTTTCCACATCTTGAATAACCTCCTACAAGTTAAAATTATATGTGATTTTGTGAGCAGTCACTGGTTAAACAGTAAAATTGTTGATATACTAGTATATTCACATGTATTTTGTCATTCTAATAAAGAAATGGTATTAAGCTTTATTGATGAAAAATACAAAAAAGCTTTGCACATTATGGTTAAAATAATTTTTAACAGACTTAATATAAAACACAATAAGAAACTTTAAAAAATTGAGAGAACACTTGAAGTTTAAACATCATAACCTTTTAAATTGATTTCAGTTGAATAAATCTCATTTTAAACAGAATAGTGTTAGTTTGTGTCTTTGGCCTTTAAAGAAACATATATGAGGATTATATTCTCTAAATTTTGTTATTTTCTTTAAAATATAGACAAAAATTATTTATTAACTTCTTTATATTTTTTAAAGAAACAGCTAATTTTATATTTTTTAAACCGATAATTGAAAATCTAATTATGATTTAACATCATGAGATTTTACATACCCCAATTTTTCTTGTGGAGTACCAGCAAGTACAAGCTAGTTTCTGAAATGAAGATATAATGTAATTAGGTTATTAAATTTTAGTAACGTTATGCCTATGGTTAACATTATAACAATACATAGGCAAACTGTTTATATAATAAATACACTGAACATAGAAAACTAAGCAATAAATTATAATAGGTACTTTAAACTAGTCGACGCACCGAACTGCGCATGTCCAAAAATGTAAAAAAAACTTGTTCTACAATATGGCGTACAGCTACGCGTTATCTTTGGAAAATTGCATACTACATCACCTTTGTTTATTAAATAATTATTTTCTTCATCAGTGACGCATCAGTTTTTGTGTTCCAGTGATTCTATTAAATTTATGCCATGAGTTTGATTTTTTGTGTCACAGACAGGAACATCATAACCATTCGGTAAGTTTATCACACAATACTTTTTTGTTATTTAATCCATAAGAAAACGGTTTCGTTCTTTAGAAACTACATTCATTCACGAGTGTTAACATATTTAAATTATTAAAATCGACCAACTCAATGAAAAATTATACCTCCCGCTAAAGTGTAGGTGGGGGGTATGAAAATGTCGCCAAAGCGAAAGTTAATTTTATTCGATCGAGTAGCCAGAAATGGCTATGATTACTGACAATTATGAAGTGATCCTTTTTTTGTTTAGTCCCTAATCATCTGAATAATTCTAATAAGTTTCAAATGAATAATTTTTTTAAAAATAAGAAAAGATTATAACCAAACTTGAAAAGTTTTTGGTAGAGTCTATGGGTTGCTTTTTAGTGTATTATGGACGTTAAATAGTTTTGTCACCGGGTTCGAAATTTATCCGTTCTAGTTCTAGTTTTCTTCATTATTAAATCAATAATTTACTGTTTAATAATAGTAATAGCAATAATAATAATTGTTATTCTCTTATAAATTACTACTCATATGGGAGAATATTGCAAAAATTATAGCAATGGCAGTAATGCCTTATCCTGACATTAATCCGGTATAAAATAAAATTTCTTGCACGCAACACATAAATACCTGAACTGCAACATACTATGTGGTAGCACAGTCCTCATTAAAACAAATAACAAAGGTTGAATTCAACCTTTAAAAATTCATAGCCCATGCCATAACTCAAAAACTACTAGTTGTCTAAAGTAAAGCTAGAAATTTGATTTATTATGTAGTTAGCTCTTTACAGCTAAGTACATATTTTTATACATCCTACATTGTAAGTACTAGTAATAGTATACTGAACTGCAGGGTCGTTAAGTTTTTTTTTTTTTTAATTATGCAACAAAGATGGCCACCATGGGGGAAAAAAAAGTGAAAGAATGGGGCGCCATACTGAAATGTACCCAAAAAAATGTACAGTGTAAGTGTAATGCCCAGCGGACTGGGTGTTGTTGTGAAGAGCTGTGTACTGTTGATGAACAAACTTAAATTATTGAATTTGACAAGTTGAAAATTATATTGAATTTTTAGAATTTAAATACTTACTAACTTACTAATTTACTAGTTAATAGGTATATTACTTAACTTTTTTTAGTTATACTAGAAGTTAGGAAGTTAATAAGTTTCAACTTTAAGTAAGTTCGTTAGGTAATTTACCACTTGAGCGTCGGCCAAGAAAAAATCCAGCTGTTCCGGTTTGAAGGGCTATTTAAACAATTATTCTTATCTTTTTTTACGACGTTGTACATACTCTTCCAGCACATATGCAGTACCGGGTAGAACAAATAACACACGACAATTTTAAAAAAATAGAAAATGTAAAACAATTTAATTTTTAAAAAAAAATAAAATAGAAGAAATCAAACAATGTAATGTGTAAAAATGACATTATGCATAGTTCTCCCCCAATGCGAGAATGAAGTTCTTGAAAATATCATGTCCTTGAAAACGCTTGCGGAACATGAATTCATTGTAGATAAGAATAAGAAGAATATGTACAACGTCGTAAAAACAAAATAAGAATAATTGTTTAAATAGCCCTTCAAACCGGAACAGCTGGATTTTTTCTTGGCCGACGCTCAAGTGTTAAACTACCTAACGAACTTACTGACACAACACAAAGTAAACGGTTACAGTTTAGTTACAGACAACTGACGTATTAATTTAATAACTACGTACCTGTTGAGCCTGAAGATTTACATGGCAAAATAAAGAATTTCGCATCACAATTGATGCGTAAGAAGGGTGAAATAACTTCCACATCATTTTTACTGACACTTTTTATAAATTAAGTATTTTTCAATTGAAAATAGATTTACTATTTACTGCAAATGTGCCGACAGTGTCCTTGACTTCATAAAATGTGTGATTTTCTGTGCAACCATGTTGTTTTCAGAGTAACCTCCCTTTGAAAACATCGCAAAATGACTCAAATTTTTAATATGCTTATAAAGCTAGTAATTTCGCTACTCATTCGTTACCTTTTAAAAAAAAAAATTATTTGTAAGTTATTATTGACAAAATTCTAAATTTTGAATGGAAATATAATCACTATTTTTTTTAACACATTTACATACATTTTACTGTCATAGTTCTCTGGCCTTCAAATTTATATTTTATTGATATCTTTGAGAATATTAAAGTTTGAAACTATATGAACTTGGGGGCCTCTATGCCTCTAACTCTATGCAGTAAAAATGTTTGGGCCCCACTTATATTTTAGCTCCTCCTAGTGACTAACGGAGGGATGACCATCCAGGGTGGCAATTTGGGGTTTATATATAAGCCTAACATATTATAAATCAATTTGTGATTTCTCTTACGCATTTTAGGAAAATTGCACTGGGCAGCCTTTAATCAAAGTAATCTGTTGCTATTCCCCACTCGCAAATATCCATATCATTCACTTTCAAATTCGAGGCAACCTTCATTAAATATCCTGAAAAATAAATGTAAAATTCCATTTTGTTTGAAAATTTTAGTTGGTTATTTACTGATCTTCGGATTTTACGACTTATTTGTTTCATTTACTCTCC